AGAATTTTAGTAATTAGTTTATGTGTGCCATGAGATTAAAAATGTTGAAAATAACTGTAGTAATACATAGATAATATTCTAGGATTAGATAAAGCTCTCAGAAAGAATAATGCTTTTCTTCTTCACCCCTCATTCATTGTGCCTTTTCCTTTAAAGAGAACATAGCACATGAATCTTTATCCAATTGGCCTTTATATTTTAATAGACATGGAGTTTAGCTATCCAAAGTTTCCAGTCTTTTTCTTTTATTTTTGAAATCAAGTGTCATAACAGCTTGAGTAATACTTGCGTTTGTTTTTATCTCACCAGAACATGTATAAATCAGATCTCCAGTGGATGAGAGGCATCGGCTGGGTCCCCATCGGGTCTCTGGATGTGGTCAAGTGCAAGAGAGCTGCAGAGATACTGAGTGACAACATCTACCGCCAGCATCCAGACAAGCTGAAATTCACCAGCGTGACTGACTCCCTGGAGCAGGTGCTGGCAAAGAACAACGCCATCACCATGAACAAGGTGAGCCCCAATTTGGGGGAAAGTAAAACGGGGTTATATGCTCTTGAACATATTGATAATTAATTCATCTTTTTTGTTTTATTCCATTGCCATCTATGTATAGTGATTTGGTTGAGTTCTCTATTCAGTTACATTAGGATTTCAAAAATATATGGGGGAAATTCTGCTTTGAGGCCTCTTGGGAAATAGCCAGAATTAAGAATAGGACAGCTGTTTAGTGTGCAAACTGTTTGAAGTCTATGAGAGTTACACATGGTTTGGTATCAAGGTTTCTTTCTTGTTGGGTATTCATATAGGTAAATATGGGACAAACAAGTCAAATTCACATCTCCATAACATTTATAAAATAAAAATCTGGAGATGGCTAATCCAGATACATTTGCAGTTAATAAACAAACAAACAACAAAACTATGGGGAGGATTTGTTTATACAGCCACAGTGCATATGGATGTGCATATATGCTTTGAAATATTTGCTTTTCATTTAATTGGAATGGAGGTGATCTTGAAATGAAACACATGTTTACTGGTCATATCTTAGTCTACATTTATATTTAGTGATAATAAATATCTTGTGATATTAAGGCGACTGAAGAGTATGGTATAAAGCACACAGCACAGATAGTGAGGATGCTGGCTTTCAACTTTGTCATGATCTCCAAACTGCAAACTCCTGTTTACAGCAAACATTGTGTTTCTAATTCATTAACCTTTTTATCTTTCATAGCGCTTATACACAGAAGCCTGGGACAAAGACAAGACTCAAATCCATATCATGCCTGATACACCTGAAATTATGTTGGCAAGACAAAATAAAATAAATTATAGTGAGGTAAGACTATTTACTTTATTTCCTATCAAACTGACCACATTGATCTTTGCTGGTGTAGTAAGAAGGTCAGAATTATGGATTTAATTCTCATGAGGACCAAATATTATTACTTTTATGCCCATTACTCTACCCTGAATATATGTATTACTGAATTCAAAAAGTAGATAGATAGATAGAGAAATTGATAAATATAAAAATTTCTCCAGAAGGGGGAAAAGCTTTCAGTCACCTATTAATGATTGAAACAAATTGTAACTTTAATTAAAAATAATTATTACTCTTATCAGATTAGTACTTGCTACAGATTTGTTCTGTGAATTTTTCCTCAGTTACTCATCTGTAAAACAAGATAAAATGCCCGTCATGGAATTTCTGTGATGACTAAGTAAGGTCATATATACAATATGCCTAGTGTGAAGCCTGGTACCAAATAGTTGCTTAGTAACTTTGATTTTTTCCCTTCACACTCAAGTCACCATGAAAATTAAATTTTTAACATGCTCAAAATAACTTGAGGTTTATTTGTTTATTTATAAGAACTGAAAGAGAATTCTTAGATTTATCCATTTTGGAATTGTCTGAAGAGAGTAAAATACATTCTTTTATGCATTATCTTCAGCTAAATTTGTCATCATATATTTTTGCAGTCCAGAAATACTGTTGAAGAAACAGCTTCTTACCCAATTGTTCTTGACAAAGAACAATTACCTGGCTTATTCAGGAAAAATCTTGATTTCATGTGTGTGTGTGTGTGTGTGTGTGTGTGTGTGTGTGTACGCGCATGTGTTTTTAACAAGAGAGGGGGAAGGCAGACATTTCTTCAGTTTGAGAGCATTGGGAAATTTAAGTACTCGTTTTCAAGACTTGGCCATACTCATTGTTTTGATTACCCATATTGATTAGTTTTTGCCTAATACAATGTATCTATAAAGAAGAGGTGTGCTTATATCTTTTAAAAATATATTTAAAGCAGAATATACTAATGCCGTTCTGCATCCAAAGGTAGTCTTCCTTAGGCAAAAATACATTTTTAGAGTGAAGGCAAGTGCCTTAACTAAAAGGTATTACTTCTGTTCTCAGAGCCTCTATCGCCAGGCCATGGAAGAAGCCAAGAAAGAAGGCTATGACTTGAGAAGTGACGCCATTTCTATTGTGGCTGCCAAGGCCTCCAGGGACATCGCCAGTGATGTAAGCGCTGATGAAGTCCCTACCTTTGTTACCAACAGGCCAGTCCCTGCATGGGGCATCACAGCATAGGAACACAGCTGGAAGTCTCTTCCGTCATCATCCATCTTAGCCACCTTTGTTGTGTAGGCAAATACATGGAGGCTTTGAGGCAGTAGGTAACCTGCCCAAGGTCACAAGCATCACAGGACAAAGCCTGGTTTGGAATGTGGTTTCTTTGATTCTTGTCACTTGGGTTTTTGCTTAATAAAACTGAGTGCCTTGATTAGTTAGATGGGCATGTATTGGGCTACTGCTAAAGCCCCATGAGCTCTCCTCAGGATACACCCAAGGCAAAAACTCCAGGAAAGAAGTAAGTTTAACTGAGTTCTCCCCATGACTTGAAGAAGGACATAGAATAGCAAGAAAGCTATAAATTTTCCTGCTGGGGGGTCCACAAAATCAATATTCCTTTACCCTAAAAATAAAACATCAGATTCCTTGACTACCTAGATTTTAATCCAAGAGTAACAATATTGTCCGTTTTTGTAGGTTTTTCTTTTTTTAGCATGATAAAACAACTCATAACACCATTATCAAGTGTATGGTTCAGTAGTGTTACATATGTTCTCACTTCTTCATCTTGCAAAACTGGAACTCTATACCTATCAAACAACAAAAATTGCCTGGTTTTAAAATACCCGCCCCCCAGATTATTTGTGCAGAGGAAATTTCTCAGAATGCCTTAGGAAAATAAAATTAACAAACCATGTAAACACATCTCCACCCACCCACATGACCGACTTCTGAGACACTGTCACTCTAATTGAGCTCAGCCTTTCAATCACTTTTAATCACTTTTTGCCAACAAATAATTTTTAGCACAATATAAAGGACTCACTGGGGAGTTATACTGTGGGAGCATGAGAGTGAGCACACCATCCTCTTCTTTGGGAGTCAGCACGCTCCAATGTGTCGCATCACAGCAGCACGTGATGAAACGCCCCGAGTGTCTTAAGGGTTTCACAGGAAAGCAGCACCGCAGCAAGAACAACAGGGAAGAGCTCCTCAAGCTTCCTCCTCTTTTACTGGTTCTCTCTTTCAGTACAAATACAAAGAAGCTTATCGTAAGCAACTGGGTCACCACATTGGTGCCCGAGCAATCCATGACGACCCCAAGATGATGTGGTCCCTTCACATTGCCAAAGTGCTGAGTAGCCTCGAGTATAAGAAAGAATTTGAGAAATACAAGACCAGATACAGCAGCCCGGTGGACATGCTTGGAATCGTTTTGGCCAAGAAATGTCAGACCTTGGTCAGTGATGTGGACTATAAACATCTCCTTCACGAGTGGACATGCCTGCCCGACCAGAATGACGTCATCCATGCTCGGAAAGCTTATGACCTCCAGAGCGACGTGAGTGTTCCTGATGCTGGTTCTGCATGTTAAAAACAGATCTGAAGCATGTCCGTGGGTTCTGACTAGTGCCAATGGACACAGTGATGGTGAACCCTTTGAGCTCGGCGTGTCAGCATTTTGAAAAACCCTAACTTAACTCTGGTGCCGTGTCACATATAGAAATTTTTTGATATTTGCAACCATAGTAAAACAAAGACTTATATTTTTGATATTTATTTTATATATTTAAATGTCATTTAACAAAGAAAAATCAACCAAAAAATGAGTTCGTGTGTCACCTCTGACACGCGTGTCATAGGTTCGCCATCACTGGTAGAATTTGTTTGCATATTTCTAAATAGTATACAATTGAATGTTCCAAAACAGTTTCCCATTGGTAGCACTACAAATTATTTCACAATCTTTCTTCCCCAAAAGTTATATGTAAAAGAGGGAAAAAAGTATATATTATCAATTTTATACAGGTATATTTCTTTCTGGTAATTTGGGCTTCCTTTGTCTGAGTTAGATGAAATTCAATCCTCAAAAAATATGTAGCTACACTTTTTTTTTCCCAGAAGTGGTAGAAATGTATGTATATGTCAATGGAGGGTAGTATGCGGAGAGTTAGGAAACAAAAATATATTACACTAAATTATTTTAACAAACATTCATATTTTATACCTACTGACAGGAAAATTCTAAGGCATTCTTATCTTTTTCATGATGTTGAGTTGTACACTTGAAAACCTGTATGGTTTTGTGAACCAATGCCACTCCAATAAATTCAATAAAAAATAAAATAAAGTTGGTTCTTAAAAAAACAATAATCTAATTTTATTAACAATTAGCATGTCCTATTGAGAGTAAAATAAAAGGAATAATTTGGGAAATATCTAATATACTATCTTGTGTAAAAATTTTGTAATACACTCAAGGACATGACTGTGTCTTTTACTATATAAAAAAATCTTTCCTAGTTCTTGGTATAATCCTCTGTACAAAAAAAAATATGCTTAGGAAAAAAATATACTCTGGATTCAATAATGTTTACAAATGAGTGATCAACTGTGCTGGGAGCCTTATCTGTTCATCAATACTTTTTATTTTCTCTAGTATGAGCCATTTTGTGACTATGAATCTGAAACACTAATTAATGAATGTGGGTTTTTTTATCTGTTGATTTGCAGAATTTGTATAAGTCAGACCTTGAATGGATGAAAGGCATTGGCTGGGTTCCAATTGGCTCCTTGGAAGTTGTTAAAGCCAAGAGGGCCACAGAGATACTGAGTGATAATATCTACCGTCAGCGTCCAGATGCACTGAAATTTACCAGCATAACTGACACGCCGGAGCAGGTGCTGGCAAAGAGCAATGCTATAAACATGAATAAGGTGAGTCTTCACTCCTCCCTAGTAGATACCAAAATTCACATTAGAGCAAGTTAAAAATGCTGACATATTACTACATTTTAAAAATTCCCATAGGGTTTATGATACCTTTAAAAATTACTTTTCCATTATAATATCATAGGTACTTATGTTAAACTTATGTTAAAAATGAAATGTGCTATAATTATTTTATAACTACAGATTATAAATGCTTCAATCCAATTATACTTTCAGAACTGTTTTTTTTAATAAGAAGCAAAACTCTGAGTGAACAAAATAGTGAGATAAATACTCTTGGAAATACTAATTTATCTACATAAAAGATAGGACTATATGCAACTTTCGTAATTTTATTTCTACTTTGTTTAGAGGAGAGATGACTGGCACATAATCAAAGTAGTATCTGTGAACTCCAAAATAATTTTTCTCATCTTTTTTTTTTCATAGCGCTTATATACTGAAGCCTGGGACAATGATAAGAAAACAATCCATGTCATGCCTGACACTCCAGAAATCATGCTAGCCAAGCTTAACAGAATAAACTATAGTGATGTGAGTAAACGATTGCTTTTATAATGAACAGAAGACAAAAAGGAACTGTTGTAACTGTCTTCTTAATGAGCTGTTTTGACTGACTTATTATACATACTCCAAACTAACATTGCCAGTAAGAGATAGTTCTCCCTTGATTCAATTTTGGACTATATGTTAGATCTACAAAGTAGGCCAGCCCTTTAGTAACAGAATATCAGGGAATGGAATGCTTATGGAGGAATATTCCAATAGGAATTATACTCCTCAAGCCTTCCTCTATATGACAATGTGGGTATCAAGTCATTATTTGGTTCAACAACTATTTATTAGGCAGGCACTGGCTTGGAACTCACTAATGATTGTTTTTGCTGCTTTATTAATGTTCTGGTTATTATTTCATGTTGTTTGCAAGCATTTTTCTAGGTGTTTCATTTAGGAACAACATTTTCATCAGGCCAGTGATTCTGAAACTCTACTCTGCAAGTAGATCACAGTCTGTAATGATAATCCACAACAAAATGAGGACGAAAAAGGACAAGGCATTGAGTTTTTTATGAGTACAAATATATTTCGTTTTAAAATACTTTCCTTATTCTTTCTCCTTTTTTAATATTAAAATGGCCTTTTATTTTATGATAGTGATAGTAAATAGGCTTTTTAGCATGTGTTTGTTTGGCAAGACAAAATTTTGGCAACCCCAAATTTTTGAAATTTGCCAATCAATAAAATTCCAAAGTTTAGAACATGTCCCTTAAAATCTTTAAGTGCCTATGAAACCAAATTTTTTACAAAACCACCTTAATACTCCACTATGTGGATTTGTTTCTGTAGTTTAAATGAGGATGGAAAACGTTTAGTAATTAACAGTTTTCTTTTTTATGAAAGGAGGAGTGATTTAACGACTCTCTTTTCTGCAGAAACTCTATAAACTTGCTTTGGAAGAGTCCAGGAAGGAAGGCTATGACTTGCGTGTGGATGCCATTCCAATCCAAGCAGCCAAGGCTTCGAGAGATATTGCCAGTGAGGTAAGCTGATGTTGTTAGAAGAGGCACTTTTTATTCAAAGATGTTCACAAATGGAAGCTTTGCAGTTTTTCTTGACAGAATTGTTGTTGTACCTACACGTCTCAATTTCACTTAGCGACTTCCCAATGTACAAAGTTGCAAAGAAAAACGAAGAAAAGCACAAGATACTATGCCCATTCTACTTATTAATCAATTAAAGAGAGAAATTTTCTTAAAAAGTAAATATTTTATGCACACTAAAAATGAGTTCATGTTTTTGAGTGTCAGAAATTGAGCAGCAGTTGATCCAGATATTTGTTTAAAAAAATACATTGATAGCACATGCAAATCAACCAATATAAATGTGAACACTTTTCTACTACTTCTATCCAGTTATTTTGGCATTAAAAGAAGACTTGATGATGGACGCGTTTAGAGTTTTAGTTCATACTTTTTAACTTTCAGTGAAGTTTTCCTACCCAGTGGCCCCTAACTGGTTACAAGAACAAATTGAGAAGTAAGAAAAGCTTTTTCTCAGTACCCACTTATCTCTTCTCTCTGTTCCTTCCTTTCTCATGAGAAACATCTCCGGGGGGGTGTCCATGCCCTCATTATGCTCCAGGGCTGCTTAGAACCTAAATCCAGATTTTTCTTCTTCTAGAACAGTGATGGCGAACCTTTTGAGCTTGGCGTGTCAGCATTTTGAAAAACCCCAACTTAACTCTGGTGCCGTGTCACATATAGAAATTTTTTGATATTTGAAACCATAGTAAAACAAAGACTTATATTTTTGATACTTATTTTATATATTTAAATGCCATTTAACCAAAACAAAATCAACCAAAAAAATGAGTTCACGTGTCACCTCTGACACACATGTCAGAGGTTCGCCATCACTGTTCTAGAAGGATCCCACACTTTAGATTTATGCTTCATTCCTTCAATTGTTTAAACTTTTTCTTGCTATTAAACTGAAGAAGCCCATACTATCATCATCTCATGGCAAAATGGACCATAAGATGTTATTCTTGAATTTTAAAAGTAAGGAGACTGTTGACCCAAGGCATGACTTTCTCACAGTGAAAGTTCAATGACATTAACAGGCTAATAAGGGAGGCATTTTCTGGTGAAACTATCTAAATGTGGCCCATATACTCAACCAAGGAATTTACCATAAATTCTAATTACAAGGAAGATATTCTAAGCATCAAAGCATTATTTTTAGAAAAAAATAGCCACATCTTTAAATTAAGTAGATGCTTTTTTAGATTATACAAGACGTTTTACCTTTACTTGTTAAGCAATCCAATGTAAACTAGGTAGTATTGTTTAAGAGAAAGAGAAAAATATTCGGAACCAGAAGCTACTTCATTCTAGTCTGAACTCTGCCTCCCACTTATGATGTGACCTTGAATAAATTAATCCCTTTAAGTTTTCCTTTTCTATTTTATAAAATGGGCTTGACACTATTTACCTTTCTCACACTAATGGTAGCAAAGATCAAAATAAATACAGAAATTTGTATATGAAATTATGAATTGTGATATGAGATGTTCTTATCATTAGACTCATATCCCTTTTCTTTTTTTTAGTACAAGTACAAGGAAGGCTATCGTAAGCAGCTCGGCCACCACATTGGAGCCCGGAACATTAAGGACGACCCCAAGATGATGTGGTCCTTGCATGTGGCCAAGATCCAGAGTGACAGGGAGTACAAGAAGGACTTTGAGAAGTCGAAGACCAAGTACAGCAGCCCCGTGGACATGCTGGGCGTGGTGCTGGCCAAGAAGTGCCAGATCCTTGTAAGCGACATAGACTACAAGCATCCCCTGCATGAGTGGACCTGTCTGCCCGACCAGAACGACGTCATTCAGGCTCGGAAGGCCTATGACCTTCAGAGTGATGTGAGTAGGTCTAATATTATTCAAAATGTGTTTTTAAAGCTTAAAAATGAGGTCTAACTTCTTGTGTGCCATGGAATTTTTTGGCAATCTGTTGAGACCTATGGACAACTCAGGACAATGTCATAAAAAGTATAAATCTAAAATATATATACACTAGAAGCCCAGCGCACGAAATCACGTGGCCCCGCCCACCCGCCCACCCCCTGCCATGCTTGCAGCCTTGCCCACCCACGCTGGTCTTTGGTCATTAGGGCGTTAGGGCCACAGGCCTTTTATAATATAGATACATATACATATATGTGTTTAAATATATGTCTGAATATATATATGGATTTTTATTAACACATTAAATGAAAATATCTAGCAGTGAGTGTAGTAACTAGCTTAATTTCAGAGCAGTGATGAGCATAAATATTTCAAGATGTCTGCACAACTGTAATTGGATATGAAAATATTTGCGATTTCTGTTGCCAACCAAATCCCATGCAGTGTCAATACTACTATGATCTCTTGACTAAACTCATAATTGAAAGAAATGCTATATTTCCATTAGAGGTTAATGAAAATAAATATTTATTTTTTTCTATCTAAGTTCATTGATGTTCTAGTTTAACCCTTTGAGTGCCAACCAATATCCTAGGAACGATGCTAAAATTGCCAAGGCATTTTTGCTGTTTTTACAGCAGTTTAGGAAAAAAATTATGAATTGCAAATAAATGAAGTTACATATTCAAAATCTTAAGGAAACCTTTACTACATTGACATATTTAGCAATATCATCATCACTAATAAAAATTTAGAACTGGAATGAATTATACATTGAGATAATTTATCCAAGAAGCTGAAAACCATACTTTCCTAGGAATATGTCAGGCACTTTTGTTGTCAGCTAGTAAATTGTCCTGAGCACCTAAATGCTACCTTATTGGGTTAGTAGCTCCTTTTTGGTTTTTAAATCAGGCTCTCGTAAGTAGTCACTTTCAAAAGAATGATAAAAGTCATGGCACTGTAGAAAGAGAGTTTCCCAAAAATCCATAAAAATAAGGATTGTTACCCTTAATAATGAGAAAAATTATCCTTCAAGCAATTATTTAAGTTCAAAGAATAAAACTGAAAGAAAGATGAAATATCTTATTTTACTTGAATTATGACAGAAAAGAGGGCTGAAAATAAGATAAATAAGAGTAAAAATATATGTACTCTTTGTCTTAGAAGCATGTATACAGAATTATATGAAAAAAGACACCCTTTTTGTTGTTCCTAGAAAGTACCTTAATTCACCATGTGGTCATCCTTTCTTTATTTTATAGGACTGGCTGTGAAGGCCATAAGATAAATAAGAGTAAAAATATATGTACTCTGTCTTAGAAGAATGTATATAGAATTATATGGGGAAAAAGACACCCTTTTTGTTGTTCCCAGAAAGTACATTAGTTCACCATGTGGTCATCCTTTATAGTATAGGACTGGCTGTGAAGGCTATTGTCCAATTAGCTAAGAACAAACTGTGTTCTATTAGTCCCACACAATATGGGCAATCAAATCAGAAAATAAGCTCTTTGTATCAGGAGGCAGACAGTAATTTCCTTAAAATGGTTTTGTATCAATGAAACCCATATTATTATAGCGATTTCGGGGTCTCTAAAACAAGGCTACCTCTTCCTTAAAATGGTTTTGTATCAATGAAACCCATGTTATTTCAGGGTCCCTAAAACAAGGCTACCTTCAGGAGCAGTGTTTAGCCCCTCTGTACCACAGTGGGCCTTCCCAGAAATTCACACAAGGAAGATTCAGAATTACACATCCTCTGTAGATGCTAAATCAGGGTCAGACACCAAGTTGTCTAGGTAATTTTTAATAAATATTTGACATTATTTCGTTTTCAGGCTATTTACAAGGCTGATCTTGAGTGGCTGCGAGGCATTGGATGGGTGCCCATTGGCTCCGTAGAGGTCGAAAAGGTGAAGAGAGCTGGAGAAATCCTGAGTGACAGGAAGTACCGTCTGCCTGCAGATAAGCTCAAGTTCACATGCATTACAGATACCCCAGAAATTGTCCTGGCAAAGAGTAATGCCCTGACAATGAGCAAGGTTAGTCTTCAGCTGTTTCCAGTTGCCTGAGTCATACTTCTCGTGAATATAGCTCATAAAGTGACAAATATATAACATTTAGCCTTTTGTTTTAAAGTCTGGGAAACACGGTGTTTAAAGAAGTACCAATGCACAACTCAAATTAGTTGCTTGGTTTATTCTTTCTCCTTAGGTTGTGGAAATTGTTTTTGAAAAGTGAGCTGCTATTGTTGCTTTCAGTTTTATTACATAAGATAGATGATCAGTTCTTTTTTCCGGAGTTCTAGCAATCTGTTTATTGAGACTGAGCGAATTCTTTATCCAGTGGATAGAACCTTAATATGCACATTTTAGATTGAATTCTTACTTATCTAAATTCTCCCACACCTGCCTGGACATCTTCCAAACATTCAGGTGGTGATATTGAGTGCTTGCTCATTGAAGAATGTGAAACTGGCTCTCAACAAACCTCAGAATTAGGGCTATTAACGCTCCAGAAATTCTATTCTATACCACACCCATCAGCAGTAACCACAGTGATGACAGCAATAGAAAATATACAATTCATTGAGTGCCTACTATGACTGATGCATTTTATATGTTATTGTTAATTTTCAAAAAATACTCAATAAAAAAGATATGATTATCTCCCTTCAAGAAATGAGGAATATGAGGCTTTATGTACCTTTTTCAAGATCACATAGCTTGGACAAAGTGGAGTTGGGTTTGAACTTGGGATTGACTCTGAAGTCTAGGGATTTCTACTACATCACAGTTCTATAGCCACGCTCCATCCTTGGAGGTACTGAGTAAGCTTGAGTTTTACTGGATGAAAAGAATGAATAATTGAGATCATTATGTTGTTTCGTATGAGCTGTGAAACGATCATATGGCTGTTTAAACATTGCCATGTTTAACTCTCCTCACTACCCTTTTGCTTCCCTCACCTTCAAATAACCTTAAATAGGCTATTTTACTTAAGTGAGTTAAATTTGATAATCACTGTAATGTACCGCCTTCAAAAAATATGGGTCTTACCTTATTTCCCTCATAGCACTTATATACAGAAGCTTGGGATGCTGACAAAACTTCCATCCATGTGATGCCGGACACCCCAGAAATCATGCTGGCCAAGAGCAATTCTGTCAATATCAGCCAAGTAAGAGTTCCCGATTGTTGTTTAAGCTGCTCTAGGAGTAATTAAAATACTGTTTCTATCTTACCACCTTCCTTTCTGGAATAGGCCTAGTAACTGTCTATCACCCTTTTATTTTTCTGTTGTGTACTATCCTCCACATAGAAACTTTACACCAAGGGATGGGATGAATCAAAGATGAAGGACTATGACCTGAGAGCTGATGCTATTTCCATCAAAAGTGCCAAGGCCTCGAGGGACATTGCCAGTGACGTAAGTGCCCTCGATCTGACCCCCTTGGTCTCACATTGCTGAACAACCTTAGTGCAGCTGGCGGGCCCCACTTTGTAACTGCTTCCACATGTATTCCTCCAGGCCTGCTTGCTACGTTCTAAGTCTAAGACCTTTCCCTTTGTTTTCATAGAGAAGAAAAATATATTTTTGGAATCACAGTTAGAGTTGATGGGGGAAAGGGTTCCACTAATGAAGATATATGATTACACTATAGTTATTAGTGTAATGATAGCATAAAATATTAGTTTAAAATTATTCAGAGATGCCAAAATATTTGCAAAGTAAAATTCTTATCTGTTTGCTAATGGATGTTCATGTTGTAATTTTCAGTGTGTATATGGTAATAGAACTGGATTTCTAAACCTATATTTCTGACGTTTTAGTACAAATACAAAGAAGCATATGAAAAACAGAAAGGCCACCACATTGGAGCCCAGAGCATTGAAGATGACCCCAAAATCATGTGTGCCATAAATGCAGGGAAGATTCAAAGTGAAAGAGAGTACAAGAAGGACTTTGAAAAATCGAAGACCAAGTATAGTACCCCAGTGGATATGTTAGGCATCTTGCTGGCCAAGAAATGTCAGACACTGGTCAGTGACATTGACTACCGCAATATCCTGCACCACTGGACATGCTTGCCTGATCAAAACGACATTATCCAAGCAAAGAGGGCCTATGAGCTGCAGAGTGATGTACGTAACATGAACGCTGGGAAAGGTGGAATGGGAGGATGTAGATTTACTAATTTTCCAGTCATTTCCTCTGTGGACAGATCCATGGGTTGTGCACAACTCCAGGAGGCACCATTCACATTGTTTAATAAAAACATATTTAGGAGTAAAGCTGGGAGCAAAGATTATAGATAAAGAATGCTACTTGGTCATGTCCTTTATTCCCTGGCCTATATTCCAGACTATTTTCTTCATGTCATTTTTATTTTTTGGCAATGAAAATATATTTCAGACAAACTTAAATTATATGAATGTTTGTTTGTTTTTTAAATTGCCTCTACTAGATTATATCCAACACACTGAACGGACTTTCCATGGGTTTCTTTTTACAGAATGAA